AATTTATACTGGTCATATGATAACACAGGTTCTCAACTCACAGGTTGAGATATGGGTTATAAATAAAACATTCATCCAAAGTCTTTAAACATGTTCTAGTTCCCCTATTCAATCTTCATCCAACACACCACCTTTCGCCATTACCTATATCACACATATTGCCAAGGGTTTCTGGAAGGCTCTTGCTCCCTCAAAGGTGAAGGTCTTTGTTTGAACTGCCCTTCACTATAAGCTAAATACAAATGATATGCTCCAAATCCGCTGTCCTTATCGGGCTATCTGTCCTGATATCTATACTATGTGCTTTAACAGGAGAGAAACACATAATCATTTGTTTCTTCATTGTGAGGTGGCTTGGAAATTGTGGATAGATGTCTTCAAGCTGTTTGGTCTTGTCTGGGTGCTGCCTCCTACTGTGAATGTTTATTTATGGGCATGGGCTGAAGAAGGATGCCATACCTTTGTGGCAAGGCACTCTCTTTGATGTTCTTTGGTGTACTTGGATTGTCTGCAATTCCAGAATCTTTAACAACATAATGACTTGCTACTCCAATCTCTAGGATAGAGTGGCTTTTTTGGCTTCCTTGTGGACTAAGGGACATGGTTACTTTCAGGATCTCAGCATCTCTGATCTTCATCCCAATTGCGATATTATAAGTCATGATAGCTAGTCTATTTTGATTGGCTGCCTTTTTGGTTTCTTTTGTTGGATGTCTTTCTTTCTTTGAATTTTTTCTTTGTTTTCTTGAGGATGTCTAATAATCATTTTAAACATTCCCTCTCCATCTCAATAAATTCTTCTTTTATTCCGGAAAAAAAAAATGAAGGCCTAGGTTCATGCACTTGCCCATTTGGCCAAGATAGCAGGTCCTTTAAAAGGCCAACCTATTGTTTTTGATAGCCTGGATCAAGTTGGTTTTTTAATCTTCTTTCTTTCTTATGAAAAGTATTAAGAATATATTGCTATAAGCACCAGAAGTGCAGAAAAAAGAGAAGCAATGTCGTTAGCAGCAATGTCGTTTCTCATCTCTCTTTCTTTTTTAAAAAAAGTTCTTGCTACCTATAAAGGCCTGTGCAGCTGCTTTGAGGTAGGGGCACCTACCTCATTGCAAGGGTGTGAGGCTTAGTCAGTGCTGATTGCCTGAATGAAGCCACTGGAACTGGTGCAAGAAAAAGCAGCGCTGGTGTTACCAGTCCCCTTCTCCATGGATATCATTAGAAGCAAAGCAGCGGACTGTCAGGGTCCTTTGTCAGAAACTCCAAAGTGAGTTCAGGGCTGAGTAATTGGTGTGTGAGAAAAAGATTTGTAGGTGAGATTGGAATTGGAAACAGATAGAACATGGAAAAGAGAAGAAGAGAGAAGGAAGAATTAGATAGAGAACCATTTGAGAGAGAATTTGAGTGACTGCTGACTAAGTATTGTTTTCTTAGGTTGATTTTTCATATGCAGGATTGTGATTATATTCCTTTTCTATCTCTATCTCCGGAATTACATCTGGTAATAACAGAATGCCAAACTAACAGAGTAGCGATAACAGAAAATGGATGACCTAACCGTAGCTACCTCAATTTATTCTGGAAAATTCTAGTAATTTGAGGGTTACATACCATGCACCGGGACATTCAGCTCATGCATAAATTTACTCTTCTTATGCCTTAGGCACACCTCCGGAGGCTGGTGAATGCTCTCTTGCAGGTGCTCACTGTTGGAGTTGGGGCAGATTTGAGCTCTGCCATCACATGGACATTGTGGAGAAGTGGAAAGGAGCAATGTTGAGGGGGAAGCTAGCAAATCCAGTTTTTCGGATTCTAAGTGGGTCTGTGATAGTGTTAAAAAAAGGGTAAGCTGCTATGTGGCTCCTTTGAGTGTATGGAAGATTAGCCTTTTGGTTTCTTTAGGAGATTGGAGGAGAGGAATTTGGCAAAGAGCTCAAATTTAAACTCAAGTTTGGTTAGAAATGTTGAAAAAGAGAAGACAAGAGGCTAAAGAAGGGAGTTAAGCAGATCAAAGTGGTCAGTTAATTATGAGAAGGGGAAGAAGAATGCTAATGCAACAGACAAGTTGAGCATGGTAACTTCTCCAATTAGTAGGATGATTTCACTGAATGTGTTAGACATCTACAATTCCATGAAGAGGACATTATGAAGGGGCTTTTAAGAAGTGATGTGGTGATTTGATTTTCTTCTAGGAAATCCAATTGGAAAGAGAATTGGATAGAGTGATGAAAGGTTTGTAGGAGGCTAGAAATGTTAGTTGGTTTGATCATCTGGCTTAAGGGAATGCAGGCTGAGGGAGAATGTAGTCGCTATAGATTATCTAAGTAGATTGAAAATTATAATTATTTTAAATAGAAAACTACTATATTTTTTAGGAGTCTATTATTAAAATTTTAGTAATTTCAGAATTTTATTCTGATTAGTATTTAGTTTTCCTATTCGTATTAGTAGAATTTTATATTTTATTACAAATAGTATTTGTTTCTTTCTTATTAGTAGTAATATTTATAAGTTTATTAGTTTTAGTATTTTTAGTTTAATCTTATTTAGCATAGGTTATTTATGAAGCATATAAATATCTTTCTAATTTTACTTATTGAGACAAAATTCAAATATTCCATAAAATACTTTGGGAGTTCCTCAATTTTCTAGTTGTGATCCAAAACCTTTAAATGGAATCTTAGGACTTCTTAAATGTGATTTCTAAGAAATTCTAGATGTGATGTCAGAGTTTTTATTCCCAACTAACTATCTAATTTTCCTACATCACGGGTGGTATAATTATCAAATGGAGGAACAAGTGGCTTGAGTTGGTCAAGGGGCTAAAGGGTAAGACATTCTCTCTTGTGAATTTAGGTTTAAGGATTATGGTGTCAGAAGATGTTTCAAAGGGGTTTATGGCAAAGGTCAAGGTGATGATAGGAGTTTGTCATGGAATAATGTCAAACAGGCTTCTAACTTTTCAAACGGCTTGAGAAGAGGAATCTCGCCAAGTTTGAGCTTGCCAAATTGCTTAACATGGAAGATTAGATGGAATGACGATTGAGGATTGTGTGTTAGTGCCTGGAAGTCTCTGGATTCTTTTAAAAAAAAAATAAAAGAAGCTCTGGATTCTATTCTGAGCCTTCTAAATTTTTGTTGAGCTGTTAATGCTTTGGTCAAGGATGAGCTATGAACTTGGTGCCCTTAATTCCCACCTCCATCAGAGAGTTATGTTTGTCATTCTTCCTATTTTTTGGATTTTTTGAAAGAGAGGAATCAACGAGCTCTGAATCACAATTCTACTCTTTTGGATCCATCAAAGGTCACTGGCCTAAAACTCTAAAGCTCTTGTATAGGATCCTGCCTTTTTGGATTGTAGTTCATGTTGAGCTTTTGGACATTTTCTCTTTATAATTTTGTATTTGTGCTGCACCCTCTTGGTGCTCTTTATTCTTATTATCTTTTTTCTCTCAAAAAAAGGGGAGAGAAGTTATGCAGCTGGGTTGAAAATTTGGATTTTTCTTATTCTAGCTCTGATACCATAGACGGTTTATGGACAAATTATCTCCCATGTATTTTAAAAGTGCTATTTATAGCACATTCCAGTAGTGGTAAGACAATGTTCTGGCATTTTCTATAGAGAAACAAACTATAATATAAAGTGCACATCAGTTAAATGTCATAGGATATTTATCCTACTGGGACATATAATTTTTTTGGAGACATACTGGTACTTACATTGATATGTACTTTTTGCTAAAAGTACCAAATGTCAATGAATGGCAGCTTACTGGAATGCTGATAAAGGGGAAGTTGTTCTATGTGATACCGTTGACATATCAATTGCTGTTGCTACTGAGAAGGTATGGTTCCGATACTTTGTTATTTTGAAGATCTTGATAACACCTTGATTCACTATATTTGACATGTTACAGGGCTTAATGACTCCAATTGTTAGGAATGCTGATCAAAAATCCATTTCAGCAATCTCCTTAGAGGTATTTTCAGAAGTTACTCTTTTCCTCAGTTTATGTTATTTTCGACAACTGTTTGTGAAACATTAGATATCTGATAAGCTGGTAGTTTTTCATTAATGGTGCTTTCAATCTCGGGAAATGAAACATCTCTTCTTTGGCATTTTTCAGGTCAAGGAGCTAGCAGAGAGGGCACGGGCGGGGAAACTTCTTCCTGTTGAATTTCAGGGAGGAACTTTCAGGTAATAATGATTTATATTTGTTAACTATTATTTCTCTGTTTAATGTGGTTGAGAGACCTAACTAAAAGTTGTTTGGTCATAATCTTTTTTGCAGCATTTCAAACCTGGGAATGTTTCCAGTAGACCACTTTTGTGCAATTATCAACCCGCCTCAGGTATTTACCTCCTAAGATGTGCACATTCGTGCACCTCATCCTTTAGCAAAATAGAAGAGTCATAGCAATTGAATGGAGAATGTCCATTTTTTTTATCAGGACTTACGCACTAGGGTATCAATTTATGGCAAGGATAGCAATGATGGTGAAATCAATAGATAAACTATACTCATCTTAAGGATAGTCTTAATTCAAATTATATAGACATGCACATACTTAGAGTGTTTGGAATTTTGCTGAAAGATATCAGGATAGGTATATCATACTGTGGTGCTGTAAAGTTTTCTTATTCCCTGCAGGCTGGCATCCTTGCTGTGGGTAGAGGAAACAAAGTTGTTGAACCAGTAATTGGAAATGATGGTAAGATGTTATTATTTTTGCAATTCCAGGCCTCCAATTACTAATGTTACATCTGTATAACACTTCCAGGAATCGAGAGACCCGCAGTTTTGACAAAAATGAACCTGACTTTATCTGCCGATCATCGTGTATTTGATGGAAAAGTTGGAGGTATGTATTCATAGTTGACCTCTTTCGGACCTCTTAATGCATTTGGTTCTTTCCAAATGTTATATTTCAGTCATTATTCATTCATGACACTCAATCAATCACTGTCACCTTGGCTTCTGGAGAGAGGAAAATATGAGATATTGTAGACAAGGCACAAAGACAATTCCAAATCCATGGCCAGTGTCCAAAGAGAAGAACTTACACAATATAGCTTCTTTCCTTCCAACAAGAGAAAACACATCAGGAAACTATATCAGCAGGGGGTGCCTTCACTCCACTCACATTCCAAAACCTCAATCTTTTACCTGAGGCCACCTTAAACCTTGAACGCCCACAGAATTGATTCCAGCCAGTCCATATTGATTCTTTCCCATAAGCCTATCCCATGAGGATGATTAGATGGCCTTACCCTCCAACCCACTATCAAGACTGAACTTCGCTTTTAAGACCTTTTGCCACGGTTACTTCTAGAGCTTATAAATCCCCAACGCCATTTACAAACAAGGGTCTTATTGAAACAAACGAAAGATCCAATGCCCAGTCCACCCTGGGTAATAGGATAGCTTAGAATCAGACCTGTAAAACAGTAAAAGTATCATCAGCAAGTAGTTAGTCAATTGATCTCTCTGGCAATAAGTTCATCGAGGGAGCACGAAAATGATGAAGAGAGGGAGGACAGAGATGATTCCCTTGTCTCAAGCCTCTTGAGTCTGAAAAAAATGCCAACAGGCCTCAATCGACAAAAAATTATAAAGGGAGATGAAGAAATGCAAGCAATAATCTATAGACACTACCTTCCTCAAAACTCAATCTCTTCAACATAAGGTATAAATAACCAAGACATTTGATAATGTACTTTTTCCCCATCCAACTTATGGATAAAGCTCCATAAGTTTGACAATTCTATTAGCAATCAACGTTACATGAGAATTTGCCTTCTTTTGACACACACTTACTTGAAATTCCCTGCTGCTGTGACCCAAAGTTCACCTCTAGGTAATTGACCTGCATCGTTTTTTATCAAAAAATAATAATATTAATAACAATCATGATTACAATCATCATAATATTAATTGTGTACTAATAGCAGCAGTGACCCATTTGATCGAATTCAATCCATTTTCTTTTACTATTTGCTTTACTGAATTACAATACTTTTATATATGTTTTGCTAATTGAATGGTAGAGCAATATGAATTAAACCAAATGGGCTGGCTGGTAATATTATTATCATTCTCCCACTTTTTTAGTGATTTGGTCATTTAGGTTGGTGCTTGAAGAACAATCTTCTATATGAAACACACCTAGTTCCACTAATAGACGAGAATTTTCCTTCCGATGGTAATGAAGTTCCTGAAGTGACAATTCTTGGGAAGACACATAGGACAGTTTAGCCTGAGCTGCTAACCCCATAAACAGTATTAAAATTCATGATTCTTTTACTTCCTAATAATTGGTAGCATCTAGGGAATTGATGAGGGTTACATTTTCAGGGATCATTTTAAGATCACTTGCAGAAACCAAGTTATCTGGTCTCTATTTGTCATTAGATTTATTAAGCATGGAGTTGGTTGTATTTTAATGAATCCAGTGGTAAGGAGGGTAAAGCCATAGTTGATTAGGTTGAGACTGCACCATATTTCCCACATTTCTCATGCTATTTAGTTTTTTATCCTCATTTATTCTTAGCTCATATTAGATTTATTTTTTTCAGGTGCATTTCTCACAGCACTGTGTTCAAACTTCAGCGATATTCGAAGACTTCTTCTGTGATTTGTGTCCAATTACTAGTTTCGATTCCAAGAGATAAGCCTCTCTAAGGATAGGTCACCATATCTAGCTAGAAATTTCAGTGCAATGCCAAATTCCATAACTGTTGCCATTGCTGAGCCAAGATTACCTAATTTATGCGGATTCATTGATAAACTTTTTGAACAGAGAGACAAGTTTTTAAGCGCAATTTGTGACCGATAGCTCTTAGGCCAGTTGGTATCATTTCCTTTGGAAATCATCCTGCTCAGTTTTGAGTATTGTCCCAAGCCGGATAGGCTGCAAAAGATGGGGAATGTACAAATCTACAAGGGATCTTGCATCTCAATAGGATCCCGCTTTCCAGGTTTTCATATTTTTTATTTGGAAAAATAAATCAAGAGCTATTTTTTAAAAATGAAAAGTTAGCATATGTGAATTAATAAGCTTCAACAGTAGAAGCAATAAATTTCTTTACATGAGCAATGTCTTGTTTATAATGAGATTGCAGAGAAGGATTTGACAATGTGATTGGTGTACCCCCTTCCATTTCTCCATGCCAATTATATAATACACTCACTCCTTGGTCTCTGTACTTGGCATCTCTTGCAGTTACTTTACTATTTCTCATAAAAGTTATTTCTTTTCGGGGAAAAGAAATTATTGGTCCAAAACTAAAGCAACATAATTCGGATATTATTGGTAGAAGTTTGTTTTGCTTCTCTATATTTTCAGTTGTCTATTTTTTCAATGTATTTTCATATCTAGTTCTGCATAATTGTCTTCAACCTTTTTTTTTGGCTTAATATAAGACATGAGGTTGGTTTCTCAAGAACTCATGATGATTTGGAGACTTGTGAGCAGTACTCAAACTATAGGGTGATTTAGAAGAGTAGAACTAATTTTGAGAGCCCATGAGTGGAATAAGGACTTGAGATTCTCTCAAATACTCTACTGTATTCAAAACCACTCACCAATTTGGATACTCATGGTTAGTTCTCTAATTTGTGAAGATTTGATAATGATCTTTTCAGAGTTCAGGCATTCACCTCTTTGTTGTTTTTCATTTTGACCCCAAATTAGCTAATTTAAGTCACCTCATAATATTTTTAAGCGTACAAAATTTTGCCATAAAATCATATAAATTAATTTATAGTTAAAACATACTAAACCTTATAGTGAAAATACAATATTTTGAAGTATTTTTGATATTTTATGAAGAGAATTTTCTATTACTGACTTTTTAGCAAATATGTCACTATTATATACTCCTATCAGTGAAGACACAGTTAAATATGAACTTAGTGAGAGAACAAAAAGAGAGAAAGAGAGTTTTATTTATAACAAGTTCCATGTTGGCTCCAGCTGAGTTAGGTCATGCAAAAGCTGAGAGTGAATAAGTCATGAAATAGAAAGCTGCATTCGTGCGGAAGAATTCTTCTTCCCAGACATGAACTACTTGTATCTTTCAAACAAGTAAAAGAACCCATCTATTCTGCGAAATCAAATTAGATTCCGCAAGACTCAAATTGTCATTCTAGCCCTGACGATCACAAACAGCTCTGTGGATTTCATATAAAAAATAATTATAATATATTAGCTATGGAAGTTGGGAATAAATACTAATAATGCCTTGTTCCGGCCAGATTGCAATTCACACCCTGAGGAGCAGCCTCCTTAATGGCAAGAGGTTCATACCAATGAGCACCAAATCCTGCAGCTTTCCTCGCTTCCTTGTTAAAAGGCGGTTTCAATGGTCCCCTGAAATGTGTCCTCACTATTACATGAAACTTCTTAATTATCTCCTCTAACGAAGTTTCATTTTCTCCCATTTCACTTTCAGTAGACAACAGATCGGAACTTCTTGTTCCAGACCTCAAGCAAAGATACTTGAACCACTTCACTCCAGCTGCACAATGAGTTATTTCCTCCGGATAAATGACTTTCTCCAGTAAATCTGCCGTCCTATCATCACCTCCACAGCGGAATCGAGAGATGGTTGTGGGTAGCACATCAAGTCCTCTAGCCTGCATTATAGTTCAAAACAATCAATTAATTCACCATTACAATAAAAAAACTTCCTATCTTGCATAGTTAAGGAACAAATTGACCATTATTTCTACAGTTTCAAAGTTCTTCTGTTTTTAGAGAAGAGAGTATAACCATATTGAGTAATTGCAACACTGACACTTTCTTTTTCTGCTATTTATAAGAGCATGTTTAAAATTTCATCACCTAGTCCATTTGCAATATAATTGAAATGTTCTCCTTCCTGTTTCTGGTCATGTTAACACTCCAAGTCAATAAGTCATACTTAGAGTCATCCCCAGGGATTTTTAGAGGGCTTTCAATTGTTAATGTCCCACTAATTAATTTAATAGTATATAAGTCACTGGTTGGTTGGGAGGAAATCATTCATAAATTCATGAATTTTCTAATCTGTAACAATGATTCCATTCTTTTGCAACAACCCCAAAATATCCAACCAAGCAAGTAGGGCTGGTTTATTTATGCCATCTCAATTGCAAAACCAGAAATTTGAGGTCAAGAAAACTATGCACCTCATGAACACAATGCTCTATTGCCAGACGTGCCAACAGGTCTTTCGATGTGGCAGTTGCTGAGTCCCAAAGACCATCATGTGCTGGTAATGCTCCATAAAAAGAACCTAGTTCCACCAGCCGTGCAGCAAGCAGAGTAAAGTGTCGCCCCTCATCCTGAGCCACCTTCACAAAATCTGTAAAAAAATCTCTTGGCATTACCTCTTGCTTACCAAAACGTGCAATTATATCCTACAGCAAAGAAACAAAAGATAAAACAGCATCAAGCAGCAGATTACTAAAATACTAATGTTGTAAAGAATTCTTTTGCCGCTAAATTCACAATCAACAGAGGGCATGAAACTTGGTTCTGATATTTTCAAGTAAATCATAACCTAAACCTAGATTGTATAGTCAAGTATCACAAACATTAATAGTAAAGAAAATTATAACCCCAAGGTTTATCTTAACCTGCAAGCAGCCACCTATATAAATATATAATAACCCCTTTATAACAGTCCTTGTTAAAACTTAATAAGGTAAAAAGATAAAAAGCATCTCCTCTAGTTTCAAAAAAGAAAAGCATCTATATGAAATCAGACCAAGTGTGAATCATGATTAGATCATATAGATCTCTAGCGATTGCAAGTCACCTCCTCTAATTTCCACATCTCTAGCGATTGCAAGTCACCTCTAATATATCCATCCAAACCTTTCTATTATCTATTTCTTGCTTGTTTGCTTGTTTATTTTATTTATGCACAAGATTACATGTTTACATGCATGCAAACCTTTTATCTTTATATGTAAAAATCGAGAGGGACTGAGTTTGTGAAGTTCTAAGTCTCTCACGATTTTATATTGCCAGTTTGAGCGGTAATAAACTGCAAAGTCAGAACTCCCAATCCCTGTTTGTGGTCATTTATTCGTTTGTAAAAAGGGGTTCAAAACACTGAGAGAAAGATTCTAATGCAGGAGCAGGGCCGGGCAAACCAGTTTTAGCTTCAGCTTCCCAACTTGCTTCAGCCTATCCCAATTACATATCCACTCATTTTCTTTTATAAATTTTAAAATTCTTAAAGTGCACTCACGGCTTCTAATTCTTGCCCAAGTGCATTTTAAATTAATTGTTCTAGGTTGTCCGATTGTAAATTAAATAAAAAAACCTAAATGTGTTGAATTTTGTTTAAATAACTTATATATATATCGTTCCATTATTTACAAAGATAACACTGAAGATTTATATATTTTCTTATGTGATAGTTTTTGTACTTTTAAGGATTAAACTAAATTCATTATGACATCCCAAGAACATTCCTACAAATCCCAGAAAATACAAACTATGTGCCAGAAAAGGAAATATTACATAGAACACAAACAAAAAATAAGGATACAAAAACATTTCTATATTTCAATAACATAATGGCCGAAAATCTAAGAGATTATTATAATATAATTTTCCCACATCTATGCTGACTACGCAAGAAACAATTAACTTAATAAATGAAAAGAGAAATACCCATGATAGATCAATGGCCCAACTCTCAGTATGCACAAGACTATGCACAATGGCTTGCCTACTCTGCAAGCTACCTGCTTTCCCCAGCTTCGGCATTAAGCTTGGCGACACCAACTTCACCTGCAAACAAAAGATGAAAACCCGGATCTTCAATCACGCATTTCAACAAAAATATTAACAGCGAAGTGGAATATCAAATTCCGGACTTGCAATTATGCGTTATCGTTACGTTGGTGAGTCTGGCGGGGCGGTCTGGTACTGGCAGGTCCACGGATGGATCGTAGGGCTGAGTTATGGCCCCTTGCAGCCATCTAGTCGCGACCGAGTCACTGAGTCGAGCTTTCTCCAATGGGTCAGCTGTGTTCAGAACTCTTAACGCCGCTTCGACCAGAGTCTCCCCGCTTTCTTTTACGTCGAGACACATTTCTGTGTTTCTAACTACCAGTGAGGATTAGGGTTTAGAATTGGGAATGAGTTCAATTTTGCGTGGCAGTTTGTTGTTAAAAGAAAAGCCTAATATTTGCAAGTTTTGTTGTATTAATTATGATATAATTAAATAAATGAATAATTATGCCCAATATATTTGTGATATTAATGTATATTAATAGTCATAGATTAAATTAAATTTTTTTAAATATAAAAAATAAAAAAATAATATAAGAATTAATTTAAATATTTTAAAATAATATAACTATTAATTTAATATTTTTATTATTAAAGAATTGATAATTTTTATTTAAAATTTTTTTTTTAAAGCACCGCATTAAAAACACAATTTCTAAAAATAATTTAGATTATATTTAAAATAAATTCATAACTTTACCAAATATATTTAAAAATCTACTATTTTTTTTTTAATTTTCTTAAATAATAAATATAGTATTTAAAATTTTTTATATGGAATTACTATTTGAAAGCTATTCCAAAAAAATCACAACACAATTCATGATTATATTTTAAGCTTTAAGAAAATATTTTTTTTTTTATAAATGAAATTCTAAAAAGTGCACAACACATTTTTTAAAATAAAGCTTCCATTTTTAATAAAAAGTTTTTAAATTTTTCAGCAGAGTTCGTATTTTCATCCTCTTGAATCCTGGTTTTGGTGGAAGGATACCAGGGAATCAGTGTTAGGAAAGCACGAGGCAATGACTTCTTCACACATTACTGTTCCAAGAACCGAGTCCGCTCACCATCGTCTCTACGAGTTCGCCAAAACTGCTCTCATCAAGATCTTCGTCCATCCTTACGCGACGGTCCGTGCCCTAACCCTTACTTCTCTCTCTATTTATCTCGTCTGTGATTATCCGTGTTTATGCGTGATTATATGTGTGAATGAGTATCAATGGCGGTGTATCTGGTGTTTATGAAGGTCTGTGACCTATACTGTGGAGGAGGAACCGACACAGACAAGTGGGAAGCAGCTCAAATTGGTCATTACATTGGAATCGGTAGCCAGACCTCCATATATATATATGTGTGTATATATCTGCAGATTATACACGCAAATAGAAAATATGTGTGATTTTGTTGATGGTTATTACTGCAGATGTATCATCGTCAGGAATAAGTGAAGTACGGGAAGCATGGGAGAGTCAGAGGAAGAATTACACTGCAGAG